GCCGCGGGGCACCAGGGGGCGGGCGTGGGGCTGCCAGCAGAGAGGGGACCACAGTTCCTTTCAAGGTATGCAGGAGGCCGCCCATTGTCTTCACTAGCAGAGAAGTGCAAACAAGGATCCTGGAATGCTGGTGACCCTTGAACCCACGGCAAGGGCCTGAGTTATGCACTGATTGTCTAGTCCTGACAATGGGGTCTTAAGCTATTTCTTGATCTAATAGTCTCAGAGTAAATCCTCCTAATGTTTACTGACCTTTTAAGATAGTCTGTTACTGCAATTGCCTGCCTGACTAAGGGTTTTATGCTTAACCAAAGTGAATAAAAGGCTGGCGAGGCCTGGGCACTGGTGGAAATCCTTCCCCTTGAGTTGGGCTTGCCCACTTGGCCCCCCAATATTTCCAAATTATCTCGTCTCTTCTCTTTCATTTGTGTGCGGCTCCTCTTCCAGATCCTGAACCCTGAACCATGCGGGACTTGGGGGAAATAAACATACACAAGTCTGTTAAATCTCTGTATATTATTCTTTATTTCAGTCAGTGTATTCTTAATTTCTGTCTTATCCTTTTCCACTTATTTTTGGCATTCTCACTAAGTTCCTCGGAGGTCTCACTAAGTTCCTTGGAGGTTTCTAGAACATTCTTGAGAGACCTTATAACTGTGGTTTTGAACTCTATCTCCAGTATTTTGCTTTCTTCCATTTCTTTCATTTGTGACATGTTTCTTTGTCTCCACATTTTGGCTGCTTCCCTGTGTTTGTTTCTATGTATTGGGTAGAGCTGCTATGTCTCCTTGAGTTGATAGTCACCTGAGGTAGACACTCTTGGTGCACCCCTTTTTGGGCTGTGTGCACAGTCTTGTAGTTGAGCCTTGATTGCTGTTGGTATCACTGGTAGGAATTGACCGCCAGTGAGGACCAGCTGTGTCTACAATGGAAGAGCTGCTGTGCAGGAGACACTCTTATGGGGAAGGACTTGCTTCAGTGGGGCTTTGGTGCTTACAAAGTCTGCCCCTTGAGTGTGTCACTTATGGATGTGAAGAGTTGTAATCTGGTATGGTCTCACACTGATGACTGGCTACACTTGCTCTTGGATCTCCAAGGAGGTACAAAGGCAGCCTCTGCCTGGAGTCACCCAGCAGGAGCTACAGAAAGATCTGTAGATTCCTCCTCCTTGTATTGGATTTGGAAGTGCCCAGAGGAGACCCAGCTGTGAAGTAAGGCAGGCTGCTGCTGCCGGCCTTGGGCCTTCTTTTAATAGCTTTGGGACTCCCTGACCCAGCTGCTGCCTGTTTGACAGGTTTTAGGCTGAGAAGGAACAGGCCATTCATATGCAAAAGCCACTGCACACAGTTTGGGTGTGGTTGTAAATTGGGTGGGGCGCCTGGTGATCTCAGGGAATCACCAGCGGGGAGCAAACTGTAATGGCTGTCAGTTAGCCCTTCGCCTTTGAGGTTCCAGCGCAGGAACAATGGCCATTGCAAGCAACTCTATCAGCCTCAATGCGCTTTCTTCACCTCTCCGGTTGTAGTACTTCCACTCAGCCAGTTTTCCTGCGGTTCTGGATGATAGTTGTAATTTTGATGTGGTTGTGAGAGGCAGCAAGTACAGGTGTTTCCCTTTGCTGCCATCTTGGTTCTCCCCCATTTATTGTATTCTTCATTTCTGATTGGTTCTTGTTTTCTCTCTTCTTTTTTAAACCTTTATTATTGAGATTATTACAGATGTCCCCCTTTCCCCCCCATAGCCTCCTTCTACCCGGTTCCCACTGTGCCCCAAGCCTTCACCACCCTATTGTCTGTTTCCATACATAATGCATATCTACACTAATAAAAGACAAAGATGCTAATTGACCGTACCTTTGCCACACCCACCAGCCAATCAGAGCGACTATATGCAAATTAACCCAACCAAGA